GACATCAATAAAAATTATATTGGTGTCACTAATAGAAGTTTAGGAGTCAGAATAAAAGAGCATAAGTATAACATCAGCAAGGGATCTAGTGCCACTATACTATCGCAAATGGCGCAAGTTGAAGGCTCAATCGTCAAATGGGACGAAGCAGAAATTATTAAATCGGTACATTCACCGACATTGGCGAATTGCGCAGAAAAAATTGAAATATATAAAAGCAAATTGCATGATTCATGCATCAATTCTAGAGATTCTGAAGGGTTGCCTTCGGCCTGGAAATACTTTATCAAACGATTGGACAAATCTTAATTTATTGCGGCGATTTTAATATTTTTTCGCATAAAGTGCATTTCACTGAATTTCTATATAACGTTTTAATATTTAGTTAACCTATGCTTATTTTTTCGTATACATTTTTTGTTATTTGTAACAATAATTTTTATTTATTTTATTAGTCTGTATACATTTATATATATATTTCGCTCGTTATTTTATTTTATTTGTATTTAAATTTTTGTTCTATTTTATTTATATTCGAATGTTCTTAGCCTGACGATGGCCAACTGATTTGGCTGAAAACGTTAGCTTTACATTAAATTTTTTTTTTTCCTCAGCAAATTAAGGTGTTGTGTTTTTTTGATTTACTAACCTGTATTTTAAATAATAAAAATTAAGTATAAATGAATACACCACACCACACACTGTTTCTAACAGCAAATATTCCAACAGTGGATCACTGATGCAAAACAACAGTATAAGAAAAAACATACTATAGTGTTCTGTTATCATATTACTATGTAGCAGTACCATTTTAGTACTAAACCATGTAAACTATAGATGTTTTATTGGAGGTGTTGATTTTTGCTTAAATATGTTTATCAGTAAACTTGATGTGCAATACAATTCTTACAAATCTAACTTGCTGAAGATTTTTAGTGATTTCTTGATGGCCTACAAGTACTTCTTGCTTGCATTGTTTTTCTACGAGCTAAAAATATATATGTATCATATATTGAAAAGTATTATGTTTAGTGTTTATGTAACAGTGATACAGTGGAACCTTGCATAACAAATGATGAGAAGAGGAGAAGTCTCAGATTGTGTGCATGCTCCATCAGTCTGTGTTTAGCACTCGTTCCACTAGCATTTTAGTGTTGCTTGTGATCATACATTTCCAAACTTGTGTTCACAGACATTACGTATAAACATGAACAACCATAGCCCGTTATATAATAAACATGTCAAACAATATGCCAAATTCTTGGGCTATGTAAAGACTATATATAATTAAATATTAGAGATTAATTAATTTGACTAGAGGTAGGCAGTTATGTTGCCATCTCGTATTAAACTTAATGACCAATTCCAAATTAAATTTTAGAAATGTCTGAATTAAAAATTATTTATTTATATTAATTATTAAATTTAATATGAGATGACAGCATAACTACCTACCTCTAGTCAAATTAATTAATTTCTAATATTTAATTATAGCCTTTACATAGCCCAAGAATTTGACATATCATTTGGTGTGTTTATTACACATATTATCTGTGATTTTTTTTGTTTTCTGCAAATCGAATTTGCATTCCAGATTGGTTCATTCTGCATTAGAAGAAATGATGATAATGATTCATGCTCCTTAACTATATATATTGTATAATTTTCTTTGAATAAATGTTGAATAAATATATAAAATATTTGTGTATTTTTTTCAGCATGGAACGCATTATCGTATTTTACATTAATTTCTATGGAAAAAATTGTTTCACTTAACGAGTGTTTCACATTACAAGTTAGATTCTGGAACGAGTTATCCTCGTTAAGCAAGGTTCCATTGTATAACCTTATTACATTCTTTTCCATAGACTATAATATTCACATTCAGTTTTAGCCGATAGGTAGCCTACTGTAAGTTTAGGAATTGATTTATACAGTGTCTGCACCAAAATCATGAGATTGCTTTATATGCCTGATTGACTCGTGCTGATGTACACAATATTCATTTGTATTTAGAACTGATAAAGAAATTTCTAAATATAAAATTTTAAAAAATAACAATAGATAATGTCAAGAGAAAGAAAACTGAAAATATCAAAATAATCTATTACTCCATTAAATATTATTATTTTTAATAATTCATAGAATAAATAGTTTTGACTAAGCATTAAAAAAGTATATATCATACCAAACAGGTAAACTGAAATATATCAGTAATAAAAATTTGTTTTAAATAAATTTAACCATTATTTTATACATTATTTTTTTAGTTTGTTAAAAACATTTTCTATAAAATTAATAATAGAATCTTAAAATACCTGCGAGTTGATAAGCCAGAACTTGGTGATGATACTGTTCCACTTAATATATCTAAAGATTCTAGACCAGTATTATTATTGGTATTGCTTTCTGAATAAAGATAAAATTAAGATATTATAATTATAACTGAAATTATTTTGAAATTTCTGATTATTTCTCATTATCATCATCAAAATTAGGTAATAAATATTAATTCATTTAAATAGATTATTAGAATATATAGAGGAGACTGTTGTACCTTAGGACATGTTGTACAGTACAGTACATAGAGACACTTTGGAATATAACCGTTTTTGTCTGTGGGAGAAGTCGAACATTAATGCAATATTGTGTTAGTCACAAGGTAGCACTAAGTGAAATTTGAACTCATTTAGTTCTTATTTGTGCTATCAATCAAATATCAAGGTTCACATTAACATTGAGTCAATTTTTGTGAAAGTTAAGTAAATTAATAATTTTTAAAATATATACAGTAAATTATCCATCACGTAATAAACTTTCTCAATGCAATTTATTTATAATCCAATAATTGATAAAGTTATTAGCATAATTAAATACATATGTTTACCTGTCTACAGGAAACTTTTGTACCTTGGAACTATCCCAAGGTACAAAAAAATTTTTTTTAACTCTCTTTTATTATTATTTAAAATAATGGGACTGTTTTTCTTGTTTTTAGATGCCAAGAAAAAAAAAAAAGTAAAAAGATATAAATATTTTTAAAAAAGAGAAATTTATTCTAGAATGACAGGGATCCTACTTCCATTCTTGAAAGATTGGGATTTATTCTATCCCATTAGAAAATATGTTGAGTGGTCTCACCCATTATATTGGCACGACAACTAGAATGTTGTCTTCTCGTATTTCAGAGCATCAGTATTCTATCAGGGAAGGCAGGAATGAAACTGAACTTGCTACAATGGTGTTACAACACCAACATACACCGTTGTGGGACGAGGTGGCCATAATAAGACATTGCAATAACACAAATATCGTATATATTTGGGAGACCCTCCATACCAACATATTAAATCCCTGCAACACCCCCACACTTGATTTGCCCCATTTGTGGATCAATTTGTATAACTATCTAAAACAACATATCTAGCTCCACAATTTGGAGGTGCATAGCACATGTGCATTATAACCGCGCGTTTTTTTATTTAAAAATTGTCTTATGTTCTACTGTTGCTTCCATTCCAAAATGTTAATACGCTTGGAACGGTCGGTTATTTGTAATAATAAAAAAAAGGAATTTAACCATTTTTAACGACCCAAAAAAGACGAAAATAATTATCGTCGAAAGTGCTTGTCGGTCTAGCGACATTTATTTGTAATTTAACACCTGTATGATAAAAGTTTCTTCTATTAAATGGTCGGGGTGCTGTCCACTTCTGTATAATAGGCCCAATCCTTTCTGAATAAAGTATGTACAGTATTGATCATGACGTTGTCAATATCAAGGGTGTAATAGAACTGTACCGTTACGTCGATGACTGTTTTCGCATATATGATGACATCATACAGGCGGATCAAATCCTGGAACATGTAAATAAAATAGATACTGACATTAAATTTGACTTAGAACCTGAAAGCAACTGTCAGTTACCATTCTTAGACATTCTCGTCACAAGACACAAAGAAAAAACAACCTTTAAAAAATATAAAAAACCCTGTACTATTGACACTTTACATCTGAAGTACCAACTTATATAAAAAAGAATACTTTTTACATGTACTTGGATAAAATTATGCAACATACCACATATGATACCGATATATCCAATGAGATTGAAGACATCATAAAAACGTACTTAATGAACGGGTATAGCAAGCGCATGATCAGTAACTGGCTTAATAATAAATATGTTAATACACACAAACAACCAATTGACAACACTGCTTATAAATTTTTTTAAATTCCTTACGTTATGAATATCTTTGAAAGAATTAAAAGAAAATTAATTAAGTATAATATTATTTTGGTACTCAAACATCGCAACAGCTTACATAAGAAAATAAACGTACCTAACAGAAAAGCTAACATATGAGACTAAAAAAACGTTTACAAATTTGAATGTGACTGTACCACACCCAAATCTTATGTTGGTGAAACTAGTAGGGAATTAAAGGTCCATTTCAATGAACATATCTCTGCCATAGCACACAACAATGATAGTTTGGCTGTAGCTGCCCAATGTAATAATGAAGGCTGTCAGATTGTAAAAGGATACTGTCAAAATACTTAAAAAAGAAAAAAATACTTATAAAAGATGATGGTACAAACACTTAGAAATAATAAAAAATAAAGAGGAAATCATGAATAACAACTCCGGTCAAAAATTACACGAATCGTGGTACACATATTTGACCAGAGGGGGGTGTGGGGGGAGGTGTGAAAATGAATAGGGGTGAGGGTGACGGTTACCCTGGAATGTCCTTCGAATTGTCTTGTTACTCTGTTCGTGTTACTGTGAATCTACTTATCATTTTGTTTTAACAATGTATATTTTTATGACTTTACTGTTTTACCAGAACCTCAGTTTATTATTATGTTATTGTATCAACATTACCGTTTTTAATGAAAAATTTATTTTATTGTGTGCTTAGTCTTTTAATTAATGTTCAACACATCAAATCCACATGTCAAATGTAAGTCCACATTCTTTGTTCATTTCTGTCAATCACGGACTTTTTATAAAAATTGTTAACCTCCTATTATTCTTTGTAGCAAAAAGCTAATGAAGGACTCCATGTCCGAAATGCATTCTAAAAATAAAATATTGTTTTTCTAAATCTAATTTGATGTCCTGTGGTGTGTAATAAGTCTAGCGGTAAAGTAAAGCCAATCTTAGTGCTCACAAGCCATTCAGAAGACTAGACAAGAAGCGTATCATAGTATTCAAATTATAAACTGTATACTATGGACTGTAGTACTGCATAAACATTGAGGTACTACAGTGCATAGTACTGTCAATCTCAGGACACTTATTTTAGATTTACAACATACCAACATATTTCTAGAAAAAGTAACTGTTTCATATGTACTTCTCTTTTCTGTTTTTATTAAAAATCACATTGGTTTCCTTGTCACAAATTTGTGTTTTATTTTGAATAAAATAAAGATCATAAAAGCATATTATATAAAACATGTGCCTAAATACAACAATCTCCTCTAATCTAATTTTGGTAATATATTTTGATGACATTAAAATATATCACCACCACTGAAATAAACTACAAACTATTTTCTTTTTAATTTCTAGTTTTAAAATTAGTGTTATAAGTTCAGCATAGCCTTTAAACATTTCTTTAACTTAAACATCAAAAGATTTCTGCATATTTCAAATCTTAATAAAGAAATTGTCTGAATTGTTATTAATGAATTTAATACTTTGAAATATACAATTTTTATAAATAGAATATTGCTAAGTTGTTCTCTATACTTGATATTGTATTCATTTTGCCATACAGTTAGGATGAAATCATTTATACACAACAAAAATAAATCTTAAAACTAAAGTCAATGTTTTAATATAAATTAATGCTAAACCATTTAATAATAACACATCGAATATATTATTATTAAATAGTCTAACATATTAACTGATTTCAGCTATCTGCACATAATGATAGTACAACAGAAACAACGCTAATAGGCCATATATCTATGTAAGTAACATTGTATATTATATCAAATATTTGTATGTATACACAAACCTCCAAAATATATGCACAACCATTAATTTGGCCTGTATCTCAAAAATTTCTGATCAAAAATGGTATGAAGCAAAATATTGTACTCTGTATGCATGGAACAACCAAAAAAAAAATTGCATATAAATTATGCAATTTTTTTTGGTTGTTCCAAAAAACAGCAATAAAAAGTACTAAACATTGTTGTAAATCTTTGTGCAAAACATGATTAACAGCAATTCTACAAACTAATGATAAAATTACAACAAACCCCCTACAAACCTTCAAAATTAGCAAATATGTATAACTAACTTAATTAGCAAATGTTTTCAACTTTTTTAAAGATCTTAAAGGTAGTACATTAAATCAAAATGGTCAGAACAATGTCAGTATCTGTTTTATTCTATTTTATTTTATATCCAATAATAATGTAAATCAATCTTGCTTATTAATGTAATCATATTAAAATTGGATAATATTTTTGTGAACACAAATCACATAATTAAATGACTTGATAAATTTTGTAAAATTCAAATCATCTGTTCAAACAAAACAATCAACATAATTAATTGGGGTATTATTTTGCCATTATTAACAATAAGATATTAAGTAATTTGGTACTAGAAGTAGACATTAGGTGCCATCTCTTATCAAAATTAATAATTATAACAATTTATTAAATAATTTAGAACAGTCTGGAAGAAAAGAACTAGCCTGGAGCAGGATTTGAACCTGCAATTTCCAAGCAATTCTTCACTTCCAGACATATTTAAACCTAGATATAACCATTCACAGTTACTCATGGCAATACATGGTTGCAGATTCAAATCCTGTTCCAAGCTAGTTCTTTTCTTCCAGACTGTTCTAAATTATTTAATAAATTGTTATAATTATTAATTTAGATAAGAGAAGACACCTAATGTCTACCTATAGTACCAAATTACTTAATATCTAATTATTATTAATAGCAAAATAATAGCCTAATTAATTATGGTAATAGTTTGGTTTAGTATCAATTAGTGATTGCATTACCAGTACCAGTTTTCCAGTATACCAGTAAATTAGGAAAATTATAACCTGATAAATTTACCAGTAATTAATTTTTTACTGGTAATTTGGTTAAACAAAAACCTCTTAATTAACCCAATGTTTATTTTCTTAAAATTCCCACAGGAAATACCCATGGAAAGCAAATTTCCCTTTTGTCTCGCCAGGTACTATAGCAAGAAAATAGTGCATGTGGGGATTGGTCATTCCATTTCTAATTTGAGGTTACCAAAAGGAATTTTCTAGTCTGTTTGTTATTTGATTCCCTGTATTATTCTCCAAAATGGGTCTTGTTTTTGGAGTCTAATACAGGAAAATAACCCAGAAAAATTGAAAAAATGTAAGTC